TAACCCCTTTCAAATAGCTATGCCCCCTCATTTTGAATATTGTTCAGTATTGTCGGCCCCATTCAGGGCATGAGAAACATCAAAGCTGGAATAAATACAGAGATCGTTACGTCCAGCATAGACACAGTAAAGCAATTAAATTACTGGGAACGCCTTGAAGTCTTAAATATGTACTCACTGGAGCGGAGGAGAGAGAGAGATGCATGATAATATATACCTGGAAAGTACCAGAGGGTCTGGTCTCAAATCTGGACACTGCCATAACATACTGGAGCGAGAGATATGGAAGTGCAAAATAAACCCAGTGAAAAGCAGGGGTGCGGTGGGCACAATAGAACACAGTATTAACCGTGCTCCAGTTCCATGATTACCTTCCACAACCCCTTACAGGCGCTGTATAATCCCTACGGGTTTAGCGCTCCCCCGTGATTATATCAACATCCGTAGCCTCAGATTATTCACATCTTACCAGAAGATATCGGAAACACTGCTGGAACAAGTGTAGAAGCCTTCAAGAGGAAACTGGACAAGTATCTTCACCAGGTGCCAGATCAACCAGGCTGTGATGGATATGTGGGGCAGCGGGCCTCCAGCAGCAACAGTTGCTGGAGGCCCAGGCTGGCACGAGACGAGCCTGGCCCATGGCCGGGCTCCGGGAGCAGAAAGGCTCCCGAAACTTATCATAGTAGGATGATGGATTAGTACTGCCTCACAGTGTAGTAGGACGCTGGATTAATACTGCCTCAGTGTAGTAGGATGCTGATCTAATACTGCCTCACACTGTGTAGAAGGATGTTGTATTAATACTGCCTCAGTGTAGTAGGATGCTGATTTAATACTGCTTCACAGTGTACTAGCATGTTTTATTAATACTGCCTCACACAGTGTAGTAGGATGTATTAATACTGCCTCACACAGTGTAGTAGAATGTATTAATACTGGTTGGTAGGTAAGACACATAGGCAACAGTTAGGCAACTTTATTTCGAAACGTTTCGCCTACACAGTAGGCTTCTTCAGTCGAATACAGAAAGAAGGCAGCAACAGTAAGAGATGTGAAGACGATGTAATCAGTCCATCACCCTTGAAGTCGTAGAACTTGAGGTTGTCAGTCTCTCAGCCTGGAGAAGTTCGGTTCCATAGTCAGAAACTATCTGAAGATCAAGCGACAGTGCGGAGACTTAAATACTGTCGGAAGGAGAGGTGCAGAGTAGTAGTAGTAGTGAGACGTCAGGTCCCTCTAAGATCCAACAATTCTCACTTGAAAAAGTTGTCCAAGGCGTTTTCTGTACCAAGATGCCATTGTGTTGCAGTGTCTGACAAGATGAACATCAAAATGGTATACAATACCGACAGGTTGGTAGGTAAGACACATAGGCAACAGTTAGGCAACTTTATTTCGAAACGTTTCGCCTACACAGTAGGCTTCTTCAGTCGAATACAGAAAGAAGGCAGCAACAGTAGATTATGGAACCGAACTTCTCCAGGCTGAGGGACTGACAACCTCAAATTCTACGACTTCAAGGGTGATGGACTGATTACATCGTCTTCACATCTCTACTGTTGCTGCCTTCTTTCTGTATTCGACTGAAGAAGCCTACTGTGTAGGCGAAACGTTTCGAAATAAAGTTGCCTAACTGTTGCCTATGTGTCTTACCTACCAACCTGTCGGTATTGTATACCATTTTGATGTATTAATACTGCCTCACAGTGTAGTAGAATGTATTAATACTGCCTCACAGTGTAGTAGAATGTATTAATACTGCTCACACAGTGTAGTAGAATGTATTAATACTGCCTCACAGTGTAGTAGAATGTATTAATACTGCCTCACACAGTGTAGTAGAATGTATTAATACTGCCTCACAGTGTAGTAGAATGTATTAATACTGCCTCACAGTGTAGTAGAATGTATTAATACTGCCTCACAGTGTAGTAGAATGTATTAATACTGCCTCACAGTGTAGTAGAATGTATTAATACTGCCTCACAGTGTAGTAGGATGCTGAATTTGTTCTTATATTGATCCTCCACTTTTTTATATAGTATAATTTTTCATCTTGTTTCTACTAATAGCACACTGGTAAATAAGCTGTTAGGGGATAACTAGAGAACTGGGCCACTGCTGATCGCTAACGTCATGAGTCGGGATACCATGCTGATGGACGAGGTTTTTCTTTACCATTTTTACTTCAGTTGGATACTGGACGCTCGTGAGGAAAACTAGATGAATATTGTTAAAGAAAATGATAGTGTGCGTCGAGCAGCATGGTGGGCGGACGGTGTGCGGTCAGTGGGGAACCTTGCGGTACACCACCACAACCAGTTGCAGTCAACTACCAACTCTTCATCTCTTCCATCCCGTGTCTCTTCTCTTGCATGACCTAGCTTAAATTTTGCTCGTGTAGATATGCAATAGAATACTAGCCGATGTTCATTATGACCAATCAGTGGACTAGCACCTGCTAGGTTTAAGCAGGAAAACGGAAATAGCGGGGTGTGGGCAGGTGGATCCTGCCATCACCGGCCGGTCTCCAGACGCGCGCGCGCACATACACACACTCGCCCACTCACTCACCTACACTGCCTGTCCAGTTAGTTTAGTCGTGTCCTCCAGTGCTGGCAGGTAGCGCTCAGCTCACCTCCATAAAAAAGTCGTGCTCTCAGAGCCTCGTTTGACGTTGTTTACAAGTGATCGTGTTACAAACTGATAATGATGTTTCTTCCTAGGCATCAGTGACTACCTACCTGGCTCCAAGATATCACCTCAACTTGTTATTGGAATTGTATAGCGAACACCTTCAGTTGTTGCCTGATTACTTGTAGTAAATTAGAAAATAAAATCTGAAAATATATTGAAATTCGTCATCGGCCAGCTGTTACAGAACTGGGCCACCGTTCATGATTGGTGATTGTCACGAACCTGCTGTGTCCCGTCACGCGAACACGTGTTTATTACCCTAACTTGAGTCTTTTATTGTGAATTTTTTAACAAACTGGATGGTGGTGCCTGTGACACTAAGTTATGGGGCCACACTAACGATGGTTGCTGCTTTGTAAATGTGTGCCGCAGCAGAAAATGTTTAGGTTACAGGTGTGGAAGTCAAAACTAATGCAAGAAGTTATCTGGATACCTGTCATTAAGAAAATAGTATATGTATACTGTAACAAGTAATACACACACACAGTGACGAGGTGGATTTAGCGTAAACATTAATAAAATCTTCGTTTTAATTCGGCAAAAAAGAAGCGAGCATTACAAATACATTGTAAATAAGGATAACAAGACTACGGGATCTCATTCTTATGTGTGACCAAGACTGTATGAAGCTTCAAAGTGAATGTAAACTCAGACCTTTATTTTTTTATTAGTCATGGTGGCTGACAGTGTGGTAGTATAGTATAGCCCACACCACCCCGGTACTGCTGGAGCCGCCCCACTAGTACTACACTACGTACACCTGTACACACCTCGGCTACATCTGCACTGTGCACAGCTCAACAGTATACATAACAATGAAGCAGTAAGACAAAAGAGTACTGAAAGAAATGCTGATGTAACATGTCGGGTGGAGAAAGGATGAATCATGCATGATATAGAAAAACTGCAAGTGAAAGGTACAAATCGAGAGAGGGTGGCGGGGCGTGTGGCCTGTGCCCTTCATTGTGATAGTGAGAGCAGGAGCCTGACGTAAAGTGGAAATGTTAAAATTACGTTGAATGTACCTATTTTCAGCATACGTGTGCTCCGATTTAGTATGTATTGCACGCTTCGTTGTTTTAATAAATACATTAACACTAGTGAATTAGGATATTAATTCATAATGAATATGCAAATAAAAAATGTAATAATTGTGGCCAATGAGTACGAGATGAACATGAAGAGACTGGATCTTCAGAACATACAATGAACCACTTGACTGAACTCCCCAGCAGAACCAGCCAAATGTTGTTCTCTCCACCACCAGTTTACTCATTCAGAATATGTCAACACAGCACCTCCGCTGACATGAACATCCAGACGTTTTCTTTACGGCAGGCGTTGAAGGTAAGGGTAGTCACAGGCACCAATTTTCCTCACACACCACAAGTTCACTTAATACACCATTATTGCTGCACCCAGCGCACAACCAGTACACAGATGTATGGTACTAGCTTTTTTCCCCCTCTTGAAATATTGACTTCTCGTCCCGAGGGGCGAGTTTAGTGAGCACCATATATTATGCTGCACAGTTTTGGTCACCGTATTACAGAATGGATATAAATACTCTGAAAAACGTACAAAGGAGGATGACAGAGTTGATCCCATGTATCGGAAACCTTCCTTGTGAGGATAGACTGAGGGCCCTAAATCTGCACTCTAGAAAGGCGTAGAATTAGGGGGGGATATGATTGAGGTGTATAAATGGAAGACAGGAATAAATAAAGGGGATGTAAATAGCATGCTGAAAATATCTAGCCTAGACAGGATTCGCAGCAATGGTTGTAAGTTGGAAAAATTCAGATTCAGGAAGGAGATAGGAAAGCACTGGTTTGGTAATAGAGTTGTGGATGAGTGGAACAAACTCCCAAGTGCAGTTATAGAGGCTAAAAGGTTGTGTAGTTTAAAAAATAGGTTAGATAAATACACGAGTGGGTGTGAGTTGGACCTGGTTAGCTTGTGCTCTTGGTCAGTTGCCATGTTCCTTCCTTAAGTGAATGTGACCTGACCTGACACTGTTGGGTGCATTGGCTCAAGCCGGTAGGAGACTTGACTTTGACCTGCCTCGCATGGGCCAGTAGGCCTGCTTCAGTGTTCCTTCTTTCTTATGTTCATGACGGACTAGCTTTATAGGCCACCAGTAAAAAAAAATAATGCATTATACAGGTAGGTATGGTTAGTTATAAACTGTAATGATATGGATACTTGTTGGAACCGCGGGATTATTTTGAGGCTTTAATATTAAATATTCGTTTGTTAAACTGATGCAGCGAGATCCTGATCGATCAGTCCAGCAACCAGGAGGCCTGGTCTGGGACGGGAGACCTCCGGCATCGACTATAGGCAATGTACGGATGGAAAAATAAACACATACAGTATATGATGAATGGTTTGAAAAACCGACAAGTTGAAGATTGAGACACTATTGCAGCATATGGGAATCTTTATTCAGGAAACGTTTCGCCACACAGTGGCTTCATCAGTCCAATACAAAGAGGAAGGCGTAAGGAGAGGAGGAGAATGAGGTAATCAGTCCCTCAGCCTGGAGTCGATGTGTTCAGTCCATCAATCTTGTAGAATGTACCTTGGTACATGTACATTCTACAAGATTGATGGACTGAACACATCGACTCCAGGCTGAGGGACTGATTACCTCATTCTCCTCCTCTCCTTACGCCTTCCTCTTTGTATTGGACTGATGAAGCCACTGTGTGGCGAAACGTTTCCTGAATAAAGATTCCCATATGCTGCAATAGTGTCTCAATCTTCAACATACAGTATAATGGGATCCTTTATTGACTACATTTCGCCCAAACGGTGAACTTTATCAAGTCAAAAACAGAGCTACCAGGGTAAAGAGTGTATATATAGGATCGCGAAAGCACTGGTTTGGTAATAGAGTTGTGGATGTGTGGAACAAACTCCCAAGTACAGTTATTGAGGCTAAAACGTTGTGTAGTTTTAAAAATAGGTTAGATAAATAAATGAGTGTGGAGTTGGACCTGATTAGCTTGTGCTACTAGGTCAGTTGTCGTGGTCCTTCCTTAAGTGAATGTGACCTGCCCTGACTAGGTTGGGGCATTGGCTTAAGCCTTTAGGAGACTTGGACCTGCCTCGCATGGGCCAGTAGGCCTGCTGCAGTGTTCCTTCTTTCTTATGTTCTTATGAAACTTCTACCTACCTGGAGGGCATTCCGGGGATCAAAGCCCCCGCGGCCCGGTCCACGACCAGGCCTCCCGGTGGATCAAGGCCTGATCAACGAGGCTGTTACTGCTGGCCGCATGTAGTCTAACGTACGAACCACAGCCCGGCTGATTCGGCGCCGACTTTAGGTATCTGTCCAGCTCCCTCTTGAAGACAACCAGGGGTCTCTTGGTAATGCCTCTTATGGCTGGTGGGAGGCTGTTGAACAGTCTTGGGCCCCAGTCACTTACTGTGTTTTCTCTTTAGTGTACCAGTGGCGCCCCAACTTTTCACTGGAGGTATGTTGCATCCCCTGCCAAGTCTTTTGCTTTCATAGGGAGTGATTTCTGTAGTCAATAAAGGAACGCATTATACTTTATTTTTCAATCGTGTCGGTATTTTATACCTTTTATCTCGATTGTGATGTACGGATGTTTAGGGTGGAGAGGGAGGTATGTGTGCGTAAGTGAGTAGAATTCTTTTTATAGCTATAGAGCTAAATGACATTTTGGTCCCAAAGGTTTGTAAATTAAAAAATATCACCTCTTCCCATGATTATGTACTATGTACTTGTCGGTATTTATTACGATCCTCAATTCTAAACACTCATCTCAGCCTGAGTACATTTATTGTACAGTATAACATTACACCCCCACAACCGTGAATACCAGACTCAAACATGCACATTGCTGCAACAACACATTGGAGTGAGAGATACGGGAGGAAATTCAAAATAAACCCAATGAAAAGCAGGGGCGCCATGGGCACACTATCAATATCTATGGTCCCAGACTATTCAACATCTTACCAAAGATACTAGAAGCACTGCTGGGGCAACTGCAGAAGTCAAGAGGATATTCGACAAGTATCTTAATCAAGTGCCAGATCGACTAGGCTGTGATGGATATGTGGGCCTGAAGGCCGCCATCAGCAACAGCCTGGTTGGCTAGGCTCATGGATTAAAAAACTCGAAACGCATCAAAGGTATATCAAAGATACATCAAAGGTAACACAAATGCCAGTGACACCCACCCCAGCTGTGAATGCCACTGCATCAGTCTGTTCAAATCTTTCTGGAGTGCTCTAATGTCCTCATCTACAATGACGTTGCTAAACTATTCCCTAACCACTACTCGCATTGCTAACACAGTATAGCCAGAGTTGCTACAAGAGTGAGCAAGTAGAACATACTAATGTGGAACATTTGTGTGAGAGCTAAACTTAATGTGCAGTAATTAAAAGAAATGCGTGACTTAAGAAACTAGCGGAGGCTAGTAATAAATAACATTGTGAATATCAAAATGGTACACAATACCAACAGACTGGTAAGCAAGACACATAGGCAACAGTTAGGCATCTTTATTCCGAAACTTTTCGGAATAAAGATGCCTAACTGTTGCCTACGTGTTTTACTTACCAACCTGTCTGTATTGTATACTATTTTGATATTCACTGTCAGACACTGCAACACAATGGCATCTTGGTACAGAAGACATAACACCTTGGATATTTTTTTTAAGTGAGAATGGTTGGATCTAAGTGTACACTGGTAGTCTGGCAGGAGAGTAGGCTAGGTAGTGTACACTGGTAGTCTGGCAGGAGAGTAGGTTAGGTAGTGTGTACACTGGTAGTCTGGCAGGAGAGTAGGTTAGGTCGAGTGTACACTGGTAGTCTGGCAGGAGAGAAGGTTCGTGACCTCTCAGTGATTCCATTCTTCTACTACGCTATACCTCTCCTTCCAACAGTATACAAGTTTCCACACTGTCGCTTGATCTTCACATTGTTTCAGACTTTGAAACAGAACTCTTCTCCAGGCTAAGGGACTGATAACCTCAAATCTAGGCCTTCAAGTGTAATGGACTGATTATATCGTCTTCACATCTCAACTGTTCCTGCCAACTTTCTGTACCCGAGTGAAGAAGCCTACTGTGTAGGCGAAACGTTTCTGAATGGATACCTAACTGTTGCCTATGTGTCTTACCAATGAATAACATTACCTGTAATTATTAGGTGCAGCAAATCAGCGATAAGCTTGAGGCACTTAACGCCGTTCCTAAGTGGGGGAGATTCCACCGAGGGCCTCACACTGTTACATGAACATAAAACGCAACGGGAAGACTACCAACGAGCACTTTAGGTTGCTTTAAAAATTATATAGACCAACACGAACATAGGTGAGAGTAGGATCTGCTGAGTAGGCCAGTAGGCCCGTTGCTGCTGCAGTGCATCCGTGCCCCGTGGCCTGGTGGCAGAAGCTCTCGCTTCACATGGTGAGGGTCCGAGTTCGATTCCCGGCGAAGGGGTGGAAACATCGGACGTGTTTCTTTACACTGGTTGTCTCTGTTCACCCATCAGTAAGATGGGCACCTGGGTGTGGGTCGCATCCTGGGACAAAACTGACCTAACTTGCCCGAAATGCTCAGCTTAACAAGCGGCTTTCTATATAATAGTCCTTGATGTCAGGTAGGTCTGTATACCTTGTACATGTACTTGTAGTAAATAAAGATAGTATTATATTATTCTTGATGTGTTAAAGCTTTGGGTGCTAGTCATTTTCCTGGCCTTTGTTGCATTTTCCTAAGTGTGTTTTTCAAATGACAGATCTACCTACTTCTGAAGTTCTTTACCTTGTGCCTCGCTTTTTATTTCATGATTGGCTTACATACCGTATACTGTCCTCGTTCCGAATGCTTAATTAATTCCTCCCATACCCAAGATGAAATTTGTCACTACTGGAAGACTTTGCTGATGTATAGTCTTTTTTGTGTTGTGTACTGAGGTGACTTTTATACTTTGCTATCTTGCCAGCAGTGTGCCTTTGGGTACTCAAGATTTTAGTGAGACGTGACATATTTATTACCACTGTGATGTTAGAACACTGCCTACTTTTCCTGTTGTACATATTGACCTCATTGTACAAGTTATTACTCCTGGTCGCATTTGCAAAATCCGCGAATATTGCATCAATATTAGCTGCTTGTGTGTTTACACAAGATATTCACCGATGAATCACTAGATCCTGAGAGTGGTGGAGAATTACAGAAAATTTACATTAGATGATAACGTGTGTATGGTGAGAAGTAGTGATGTGATAAATTGGCTTAAGCCGGTGGGAGACTTAGACCTGCCTCGCATGGGCAAGTAGGCCTGCTGCAGTGTTCATTCTGTGTTCTTCTGACTGTCCTTATTTGTTCCCTTCACTATCTCGCACAGAGCTGTCCACTCCTCCCTAGGAGCGGGTTCCGCACGTTCTGGTATGCTTGTCGCTGGCTCAAGTGTCTTACGATAATAGTATAAAAATAGTTTTAAAGAGAATTCTCAGCTTTTACCTGAAGAAGCAAACAAGTTCTTACCAGATCTAGTGACCTGCCTCGTAGGAATGTAGAAACCTTCAACCTTGACCGCCTGTTATTGTTTAATATTTATAATAAAGCCTTTGTGAATAGGAAATGTATAAATACATGAGAAAAATATGAATTTAATTAGTTATAGCGGAGAAAAAATAAAAGTTCACGAAAAATATGCTGCTGTCTTAGCTATAAACGAGCTAATTTACGCTATTGTATCAAAGATTCTCGATGTGTATATTTTGTCAGTTCAATATTTTTCCATTCGTGAACCTGACCTAGAATTTCAGAAATGCCAGGCCTCTATGGATTCCCAGGAATGTGTACACGTGGAAGGGGCGAGGTTGAGGGTCCTACCGTTCTTATTCTTGGTCCGGGTCTATGGATTCCCAGGAATGTGCATGAGCGATCAGAGTGGACGTGAAGGGAAGGAGGGGTCCAAGGTGACTATGGTTGTCCTGGTGTGGCGGCCAACGTAGCTTCTCCCGACACTTCTTGGTCACATTGTTCCTAAAGAATGATCTGTATTGGTTCAGTAATGTTCAGTATTTCACTACACAGTATGCAACATACAGATAGAAAATTGAGTAAGTTTATTTACATAAAGGTACACGAAAGACCGATGTATTTTTTGGGGGTTATCCTAGGTAATTTACACATTACTAGGTATGATAATTGTACTTATGTGTAGCTGTACCTAAATAAACTTACTGTCCGTTTACTTACGGATGTAATAAACATGGTAGTTCCTGACTGTGTAACGCCTGAAGGATAAATACTAACAATACATCAGTCCATCATTACTGGCAATGTTATTAGGCTATATATGAGCGTAGACTTGTGTAGATGATGCATGAAGTGTAGCAAGGTGGTGACAACTAGATATTGAAGAGAAACAGGAGGCCAGCGGAAGGGATGGGGGAGACAGGGCTCCCAGTACATAGAATGAACCACAAAGTAGGAAGCACTCGCCCGAACATTCAACACAGCAGGAAGCATTTACCTGAGCACACACAACGCAGCAGGAAACACTCACCTGAATATTCAACGCAGCAGGAAGCATTCACCTGAATATTCAACACAGCAGGAAGCACTCGCCCGAATATTCAACACAGCAGGAAGCATTTACCTGAACACACACAACACAGCAGGAAACACTCACCTGAATATTCAACGCAGCAGGAAGCATTCATCTGAATATTCAACACAGCAGGAAGCACTCACCTGAACACAAAGCAAGTGTAGAAATGGGGATATGAGAGAAAGGAATAAATAAAGGATATAGGCTGGCACTACTAGCAGACTTGCGATCCCTCATACGACTGTCTGGCGTATGTTAAGGCCACGTTTGTGAGACCATACCGAGTGGGTCCATATTTTTGAAACACTCTTTATATATAATGTGCTAAAAATATCTAACCAAGACAGGACTCTAACACTGGGTTCAAGTTGGAAAAAATGTAGATTAAAAAAAATAGTTTAAGAGTTGTGTATGAGTGGACAAACTCCCGAGTACCGTCACTGAAGCGAGAACTTCCAATGGGTAACTTTAAAAATAGGTTAGCAAAGTATATGAGCGGGTGTGGAGGGGTGAGTTGGACCTGCCTAGCTATAGTGCTCATCCATTCTTATGTTCTCATCCGATTAATTTTAACTATGGTTGAAATGTCGAGCATTTAAATTTTCACTTTTTTTTTTAAATCAGCAACTTGTTTCCATCGGGCCCCGATGGATATAAGTTGCATTATTAGACATAATTGGGTTATCCTTGGTTAGTCTACATAACATACACTACTATAAGGAAATTGCGCAAAAAAAAAACAATTATGCACGAGGCCTACTGTATAAATATATACAGCCCACTTTAACAAAATGATAAGTGACCCGATATTCTCAAGAATTAAAACTAATATTTTAATCCCTATAATTTGCATACATATTGAGGAAGACACTTCTCCATGTATATACTGTGCCGTTTATTTAACTCCCAGACAGAATGTTTGTGGCAAGAAAACATAAGTGTTTTATTTATTGTTAATGTGGCTAATAAGATGTGGATTAAAATGTTAATTTTTTCCCGGCAGGAACTGTTCTCTCAGCTTCAGTACAGTCATGAGTCTGCATTGCCACCAGATGCACTGCGCCGCGCTCTTGCTCAGACCTTCTACAACCAGCAGCGGTTCCAGCTGGGCTTCATGGACGATGCTGCAGAGTGTTTTGAAAACATTTTACTTCGTATCCACTTCCATGTGGCAAGCGGCGAGGCAGAGGACATGTGTAGTGCCGCCACTGTATTCCTCACCAGAGGTTCGCCATGACGCTGGTGGAACAGAGCGTGTGTGGTGACTGCGGAGCCACATCCGAACCTCTTCCTTTCACGCAGATGGTACATTATGTGTCTGCCTCTGCCCTCACTGCCCAGGCCAGACAGATAGGTGATCCTGGCTCCCAGACTCAGCATCAGCAGCTAGACATGTTTGGCCAACTTCTGAAGAAAGCAGGTGGCATGGGTGACATACGTGACTGTCCAGTGAGTACCATAAAAAATCACTCGTGTAAAAAAAATGCTTTTATAGTAGACACACACACACACACACACACACCACACACACACACAAAACACAACCAAAACCAACACACACCCACACACGGGACACAGTTGGAAGCTGACCTGGAGTTTACCTGGAGAGAGTTCCGGCCCGGTCTGTGACTAGGCCTCCTGGTGGATCAGAGCCTGATCAACCAGGCTGTTGCTGCTGGATGCACGCAAACCAACGTACGAGCCACAGCCCGGCTGGTCAGGAACCGACTTTAGGTGCTTGTCCAGTGCCAGCTTGAAGACTGCCAGGGGTCTGTTGGTAATCCCCCTTGTGTATGCTGGGAGGCAGTTGAACAGTCTCGGGCCCCTGACACTTATTGTATGGTCTCTTAACGTGCTAGTGACACCCCTGCTTTTCATTGGGAGGATGTTGCATCGTCTGCCAAGTCTTTTGCTTTCGTAGTGAGTGATTTTCGTGTGCAAGTTCGGTACTAGTCCCTCTGCGTCCAGGAATACGTTTCAGGAACCTAGCGCTCCATAATGATGGTTTATCTCCCGCCTGCGTTCCAGGGAATACAGGTTTAGGAACCTCAAGCGCTCCCAGTAATTGAGGTGTTTTATCTCCGTTATGCGCGCCGTGAAGGTTCTCTGTACATTTTCTAGGTCAGCAATTTCACCTGCCTTGAAAGGTGCTGTTAGTGTGCAGCAATATTCCAGCCTAGATAGAACAAGTGACCTGAAGAGTGTCATCATGGGCTTGGCCTCCCTAGTTTTGAAGGTTCTCATTATCCATCCTGAAGACACAGATGAATCACAGGGATGTTAGGAAGTATTTCTTCAGCCACAGAGTAGTCAGGAAGTGGAATAGTTTAGGAAGTGATGTAGTGGAAGCAGGATCCATACACAGCTTTAAGCAGAGGTACGATGAAGCTCATGGTTCAGGGAGTGACCTAGTAGCGACCAGTGAAGAGGCGGGGCCAGGAGCTTGGACTTGACCCCTGCAACCTCAACTAGGTGAGTACGCACGCATACGTGCGCGCGCACACACACACACACACACACACACACAGAGCAGAGATATAATAAAGATAAAGCTCATGGTTCAGGGCGAGTGTCCCAGTAGCGGCCAGTGAAGAGGCGGGGCCAGGAGCTATGAATCGACCTCTGCAACCACAACGGAGTAACACACACACACACACACACACACACCAGGAGCTATGAATCGACCTCTGCAGCCATAATTAGGCGAGTACACACACACAATCACGTGGGTACGTGCACATTACATGTTATTACATTGTTAGAAACTGTGACATGATCTAGATATATTTTAGATAATTTATTCAAATCTTTAAATTTAATGGAAATCATAAATTTCATATTTTGATATACTGTAATATTTTTTGGTTTATTTTTTTTGTTATACGAATGATAGCTAATGTAATGTTAAATATTACGTTAATTTGACAGAGCGCATGTGGGGCCAAGATCCAGATCTGCCGGACGTTGATGAACAGACCAGAGATCGTGTCCATAGGAGTGGTGTGGGACTCTGAGCGGCCCACATTGGAGCACATCATGGCAGTCTTTGCCACAGTGGGCACTACACTCAGACTCAGGGACGTCTTTCAGAGTGTAGTAGATGACCGCTGGGCACAGCACACCCACCACCAGCTTGTTGGTGTTGTCACTTACTATGGCAAACACTACTCTACATTCTTTTACCACACCAAACTCCGTGTGTGGATTTACTTCGACGATGCCACAGTTCGCGAAATTGGGCCACACTGGGAGCAAGTTGTAGACAAGTGCAGACGTGGTCATTTCCAGCCATTGTTGCTGCTATATGCTAATCCCAGCGGGACGCCAGTGCCTGTGGACAGTGCTCCACGAACAGTGACGCTAGTATCTGGCCACCGACCACACACTCGCAACTCCCAGCCTCCACTGAAGCCCACATCTGGAGAGCCATACTCCCAGACCTCCACACGTCGGGCTGTTACACCCAATCCAGAGAAATGTGGGGATGGATCAGGGCCCACACCCCGCCGAGCGATCACACCCAGCCCTGAAGTAGCCTCACAGCGTGATGCCCACAGGGACTATCAGAACATTCATGCCCTTGCTGCCCACATATACCAGGATGGCAATGTTGATTCGCACAGTGATGAGGTGTTCGACGGTAGCACCTCCAACTACCGACGGCAGCTGGAGAGCATCAAACAAAGTGGCACTGTCCTGCCCAATAAACCCTCCATCCCGGGAAGGGGACGACTCGACTCTGATGATTCTGTGTACGTTGGCAGGCGAAATGATCAGCAGCGACAGGAACGACAGCGTTCTGTGAGTTGCAATGGTTACAACCAGCATGGTAACCGAAACAGCAACTCCTCTCTGGAACAATTCGAAAAAGATGGCATAAAAATGCCAGAGGGCAGCAACGTGCCTCGGCGCAGAGACTCTGGTAACTGGAGCGGCGACCGGAATAGTGCCTCCTCATCGTCGTCCACATCACTGGAGCATCCCTACCTATTTATAGTAGGCAAGGCAGGCCGCCAACCACCCTCGCCCACTACCAAGGCACCACCCAGCCCATCTCGCAATGACCACCCAGAGTATGCGAACCTTGGCGTGGGTGTCCCTTCACAACACGTCCATGCCCACAACCCCACTGGGCAGCCCCCTAACACTGCCCCTAATGGCCAGTATGACCCTGGCTATGATTCTTACTCACTTTCTTCTAACGACTCTTATCCCATCCAGCAGAACCTGAAGCATAACCTGCAGGTAAGCATTTGTGTTATAAATACAGGGTAATAAAAATAAACTTTTGGAGTGTGTATGTTGTATGGCATTACACATCTTGCATAGACTTTGTTAATTTGTGGGATGGTCAGCTGTAATTTACTGTCACACGTTAAGTAAAGGTATGCTGCTGAAGTGTGAGCAAGGCAACATTTATGAAGGAATTTAGGGAAAACCAGTTAGCCAGACTTCAGTTGGGATGCTGCAGTTCACAGGCCCATTTGACTTGTATATTGTCAATGCACTTCTAGCAAAACAGCTATTGTTGCCCAAAATACTATGCATAAAAAGAGGCTTTCTGTAAAGTAGTTTATATATGACAACCCCAATTGTATAGTATACTGTACTCTTCTTCATAGAATTAAATTTTGTTTTTATATTGAAAGGGAAGTGGCTAACATTAAGAAACATGTAATTTTGAACACTATGGTAACAGAACTTTAGAAATGAACTATCATTAAGTCCATATTTTCTTCAACAGCTTCAGCAGATCCCAGAGTGTGTACAAACAAGTGACAGTCCTGGCACATATACTGGGGGAAGTCAGCAGGACAGTAGTAGTGTCAGCACACTCACAGAGAGTGAAACTGGCAGTAACTGTGAGACACTTTGCTTGGCTGCCGATTCCTTACTGGAGGAGGCCCGTGCTCGCGAAGAATCCGGAGATCTTTCGGTTAGTATTTCTCGTCATTAAAGTCCATATGCTCTATATATCATTACAAGAAAAGCTTATTCCTTATTTCATCAGGGTCCATATTCTTAGTATACTGTATCATTACAAGAAAATTTTTTTGAAAAAATAATACCCATTAGCAGCTTATTTTAGTTATTGCTAATTTTGTGTATTTACAGGGTGCATTGGATCTGTGCAATGCTGCGGCTGCCAAAACCAGGGCAGCGATGGATGCACCTTACAACAATGCTCACTCCCTTACCTTTGCCAGAATGAAGCATAACACGTGTGTTATGCGTGCCCGCTCGCTGCACCGCCGCATCCTCATACAGGAGGAGACTGCAGCATGGGAGGGCCAGTATAAACTTGGTATGATTTATTTATGCATCATGTTAATGTTCCTTTCTTCAGGAAGATAGCAATAGATGGTTATGTTGATATTTAATTTCCAGTATGATAAATGAGACACTTGCGCAACACTTGAGTATCTTTACTCTGGATACATTTTGCCAGCTAATGGCTTCTTCAGTCCAGTACAAAGTAAAACAATGGAAGATGAGGAGCTTGAGATAAACAGTCCCTCAGTCTGGAGTCGATGTGTTCAGTCCATCAATCTTAAAGTACAGCATATGCACAGAGAAGGGGCTTATATATTGCAGACAGGTGAGTTGAAGCAGTGGTAGGTGGCATTACCAGTGAAAAAAGTCCACTAATGGAAGCAGATCATGCCTATAGGTTTAGGCAAGCTTTAAAGAATTCCCTGCATCAAGATCCCAAGGTGTTGCTGTGTCTGACAGCATTGCCATCATACTAAATGTTGTACAAGTGTCTCATATGTCACCTTGTCAGTTTTCGAAAAATCACTTCTACAAATTTCCAGTATCTATATTCATATAATCATGAAGAATAACTTCTTGTTTAACCCCAATGAAATGATATCCCTTTGAGGAAATGTTGGAATGTGACAATTTGCAATATGTAAAATGATTCAATTTAAATAAAAAGTACTTAATATATTGTAGTAACTTAATTATTATATTAAAATATAAGCACTAAACCTGTGTGTGACAATGTAATATTTTCATATGTTGCTTAATAAATAACTAAACAGCTCGCTGAGTTCAGGATTTCTTTATATGTTTTGTTTTCAGATTGATCTTGTTTATAATTTTTAAACAAGATTTTCAGGAGTAAGACATTGCTCCCAAATTTAAACACTTGAATATTAACCTTGATAATCTCTCTTAGATGGTCCCCACCACAGTCGCCAGGGCTCGCGGGACTCTCAGAGGTCACGCACTAGTCGGCAAGGGTCTCGAGAAGGGTCAGTTCACCACAGCAGACAGGGTTCACGCGATGCTTCCAGTGGGTCCCAGGCCAGGTCACAGGAGCAGCTAGATACGGCCGTAACTTTGGCACAGACAGCTGAGAAACTTCAAAATACTAACATTGAAATTTATGCTACACTGCCCAAGAAAAAAGGGAAGAAGTTATCTGAGAAAGCATCAAGGAAAGATGATGAGATTCAACTGGAAAAATCAAAGGAGAAGAAGAGTAGTGAAAAGACAAAGGACAAATCACACAAGGAAAAGAAAAGTGGGAAGAACCGTGCTGTTGACAGTGACTATGGCAGCGATCATAGTTCTAAGGGTTCAAAAAAAAGCAATGAAAAGGATGATGTAAATGCGATTGTTGAAGTAAAAGAAGAAAAGTCAATTGGGAAAAAGCAACACAAGATTCGACGAAAGTTGCTCATGGGAGGCCTCATCCGACGCAAGAACCGTAGCATGCCAGATCTTCGAGAGGGTCAAGATGGAGAGAATCCAAAGTCTGTTACAGATGACCTGGAAGTCCGTAGTTTCTCACGTCCAACCACACCTTCAGGTGAGAAAACCATGGCAGGGTATTTGAGTGAGGGTCACTTAGAGTACAGCAATCCCAACCTTGAACGTAGTAAGCTCATGAGGAAGAGTTTCCATGGAAGTGTAGGTAAAGGATTGTCTCCTGCTAAGAACAATGCAGCCACTAAAGTACCTCCTCCCATTCCACAACGCATTACTTCTCAACTTTCACATAAAAATGAGAAAAATAGAAAGGAGGACAAGAAGCGTGAAAAGCGACCACCATATCCTCTCCCACCAAGTGATCATCAGGGTGAAGATCCACCAGCACTGCCTCCTCGATGCTACACCCCAGAAATTGCCAACCACTTGCTTAAAACTGAACCCCAATCTTTGCCGTATCTTCACACACAGTTCTCACAATATGATATGTATCAGACCAACTCCCTCCCTTACAGTGGTTCTATCTACCCAGAACAGCAGCAGCAACAGCCACAACCACCACCACCTGGCACGCCTGCACAAATTACTATCTGTGCTGATGTACACCAAGAAGGTACACCCAGGGAGCCTCAGCTACATCAGCAGCCTCATGAACAAGAGCAGCTGATGAATCACCAACATGAACAAACTCACCAAAAAGAGCATCTAATACATCAACAGCAGCAGCAACTTAACCACCAGCAACACTACCAAGGTCACCAAACAACAAATCAGTCTAAATCTCAAATTAATCCTCCTCCATCTTGGTCTAATATTTCTCACTCAAGACAAAGCAGTGAGGACTTTCCTCCTCCTCCTCCTCCACTGGAAGAGGCTGTGGAGGATCTTAAGATTAGGGGACTTTTGCCTCCTCCCCCACCGGTGTCCAGGGCTACCCCCGAGGCCCTTAGTGCCCAAGAACCCTCAAGTTTGTTGGCGCAGCTACAACAAAAGCGACAGCAAATAATTGAGAATAAAGAAAGTACAGGTACAAACACTGATGATCGGGTTAAATCAGCATCAAAAAGCAGCAGTGACTGGCTACAAGAACTGCAGGCTAAACAAGCAGCTATGCGGAAGAAGATGCAGGATCAGAATGGACCCGGCTCCGAGGCAAAAAATGATGTTAAAGAAAATGACTGTCCCATCATTCGGGACAGTGGGACAACCTCAGTTCGCAACCTAGCTTCAAAGTTCGAGAGTGTGAGCATGACAAGTAAAAGTGATTGTGGAAGTGATGAAGTAGACAGCAGTGTTGCCCAGCCTCCAGCTGCACCTCAGCAGTCTACAAGAGAAGAAATCAGTGAACGGCAACGGACAGTCAGCAAGGAACTGTTTACGAGGGAATATACTCAGTGTAACTCACTCCAGCTCCCTTCTCACAGTGGTCATGAAAGCAGACTTAGTTCTTCTTATCGGACACGAAATGAACACGGCGAAAGTTCTAATGGTATTTGTAAAGATAGTGTAAGTGATGGTGCCAAAGAAGATTCTGAATTAAATACTAGTACAGACACAAACTCTAGTGATGGTGCAAAGAAGAAAAAATCTAAAAAAAGTGTCACATTTTGTGATCAAGTGGTGCTAGTTGCAACAGCAGAAGATGAAGAGGAAGATGCATATATCCCCAATCCAATTCTTGAAAGGGTCTTGAAATCTGCCTTAACTTCATCAGCATCCATGTCAGACACAGACACTTCATCTTGTGGGGAGTCAGTCAGTCCCAGGTCAAATTGTACAACACAGACAAAACCTAGTGTGCCTACTCCACAGGCTAGCCCACATTACCAGTCTGTAAGCAACCCACAGAGTCAGCCTCAGGCACAACATTCGTATATCCAGTCGCATCCTACAGCCCAGACCCACACCCCACAGAACTATCATGCTCAATCAGTTCATAATCAACCACTGCATCCCCAAGCTCACCCTCATCCAGCACAGTCTTACTCACCCCAGTCCACTAGCCAACAGCCTCACCCATCTCAAGTTTATTCTACCCAGCCTCCATCTACACAACACCATTCTGTACCATCTGCTACACAACCTCATCTTGGACACTGTCACCTAACACATCCCCATGGACAGCAGTACCAGCAGGCCTCGCAGAGCAACAGCACCACACAATTGAGAATGCCACCCCCATACCAGCCTCCCCCATGTATTCCTCATCACCAGGCAACTACCAAGACAATGGGCCCCCAGCCTCATTCACAGCCTAACCAGGTGTCAAATACTCAAGCTACTCATGGACAAAATCAAAATCAGGGGTGGAACCTTGCCAGTGGTTTGCATGCTTCTCAGATGCCTCATCTTCTCCCTGGCCAACATTCAACTAGACCAGGGCAACAACATATCCGACACATAACACAACAGCAGCCACAGCAGCAGACTCCACACTATCCGACTCAGCAGCAGCAACAGCGACAAGCAGCAGTACCTTACCCTGGAATGATGACTCGCCAGAACAGCAGTCTTGGTTTGCAACATCACTCTGAAGCAGAAAGGGCTTATCCTTCCTACCAACGTGTTCCACATCCAAGCTCTGTGCAAGGACAACCACAGTCCCACCATCAAAAAATGCACTCGCAGATCCATCAATCGGTACATCCCCAGGGTCGTTCTAGCCACCCAGGCAATACTGGTCAACCAAACAGTTACTCTGGTTACACACCTGCTGGTGCATTTAACCGTTCACAACAGTCCAGCCACCCATCACAGCAGCAAACCCCCCACAACCATTCACAACAGTCACAAACACAACAACATGGGTCTGGGTATGGTAGTGTTGGCAGGGGAGGCATTAAGGGAGGACCAAGTCACTTTTGTGGGCCTTTGGACCCTTCTGCTATTTACTCTACTGTAAACAAATCCTCTAAGAAGCCTGCTACAGCACCCAGCACAGGCACTGCTCTGCAGCCCTGTAATCTTTGCAGAAAAAAGTGTGTTAACCCACCTTCCACATATTGCAATGATTGTGACTTTTATATGTCAAGATTCAAGCCTAAGGCATAATACTCAACCCCTCGTCACAATCCCCTTTGTCGTAATAATCATGCGTCGTAATGATGTCATAAATCGTCTAAACTCCAGATATTCTCGAAAGCAAAAGACATGACAATAGTCGTAAAGGCTCATGATCATTGCGTATCAGTGATGCTCGGTATTAGGAGGAGGTGATGTAGTCGTTGACTAAGAGGTTTTAGGCATTAGAACCAGTAAAGACTTAAAAAGGCATAATACCATGAATGGAACAACACACAATAACCAGCACATACGATACTAAAATTTATGACTGTTTAAGTCTGACTTGGACCATTAATCAGTCCCCAAAATGTCTCAAGTTTGTCTCCTATGTGCAGATTTGTTTATTAGAACCAATGTTTGTGCAGTGATCAGCGAATCTATATTACCCCTCATCCCTTGTGGTACCAGTGTTGTGATTATTCATTTTAATTTATATTAAATATTTTATATTTTAATGAAATTAACTGTACCTGTTAATCTGATTAAGAGACATTGGTGCCACTTGATACTGACTACGTGATGTCTACAAGTACCTGTGCTGTCACAATTCTCTAGTTGTCTGGTGGAGCATCAGGCCTGTGCCTGCCAACCTAGTACCCCATCCTTGTGTGGTTAAGAATCTTCTTTCATTGTGATAATCTGTTATGGATCTCAATATCAGCTTGTTTTTAAGCTTAACTGCTGTTATTATATTACATTTGTATTTATTGTACAGTCAAACACTTGTTTTTGCACACTTGTGTGCATGTGAATGTGACCATGTTATGTGCCAAAATTTGTATATATCATGTAAAAACAAATTATTCTTTAAAAAATTACTGTACATAATTGGCAGCTTTTGTATGTTTTTTATTAAACAGAGCTCTATGATGCTATTATGTGTTTATTTAACCCATTTTAATACAGTGGAACCTCAAATATCGAACTTAATCTGTTCCAGGGTTAGTTCTAAATTCGATAAGTCTAAAAAGTGAAGCAATATTTCCCATAAGAAATAATGGAAATCCAATTCTGTTCCAGAAACCCAAAAATATTGTATTCACAAAAAAAATACATCTTAGAGATTATAGTTTTACATCACAACAAACAGTGTTCAATTATGTATTAATAAATTTAAATAAACATATGAAATAACATTTTACTTACCTTTACTGAAGATTGGTGATGGCATCTTGAAGATAGGGAGTTGGGGTTAGTTTTTGGAAGGAGAATCCCCCCCATGAGGACTTCAGGTATCAAAGCCCTCGCTGGGGTTACTGCCCTTCTCTGTCTTTTAATGCCACTAGGACCAGCTTGAGAGTCACTGGACCCCTGTCTCACAAAATAACTGTCCACAGTCCTCTGTTTCTGGTGCCTCTAAGATTTCCCATTCCTTTTGATTATAATAATAATAATAATCTAATTTCCCTAAAATGGGACATGGTTCTGTCACTGAACTTGTTGCAAAGATGGCTTGTTTCAGCTTACTCAAAGTGGTACTTTTCCACAAACATTTGGACATCATTCCACTTCCGTATTATTTCCTTCTTCACATCTATGGTGTTTCTCACTTTCTTTACCACAGGGGTACCACTAGCAAGTTTCATTGCTCCCATTGTAGCTTATTTCACAGTCCCACAAACACTAAACACAATGAAATAATCATAAAATGTTTGAATGAGATCGCAGGTTAGTGTTCACTCAAGCATCAACAAAACCAGACTGGCTCACGGCGCCTGCGTGGGGACATGGACAGAGCAGGCTGCCAGAGAGGTCCGGTACCCAGTGGTTCGAAAATAGGGTTCTAGTATTTTCAGAGTTCGATAATCGATACGTTCGAAATTTGAGGTTCCACTGTAATCTTAAGTAATTTATATAGATATATGAAGCCTAGCATGAAGCAACACAAAAATATCCTGCTTGAGCACTATTCTATGTACATTACTGGAATTTAATTTAAACAATTATATTTACAGTACAGTAGTTAATTTTTAAAAATATTAATTCAGCAAGGAAATTTCCATTTTTTTTGTTTTAAATACCCTTTCCTTTCATATAATTATTTCAACATCTGTATTTGCTGCAGTTATCCCTTAGTCTGACATAAATCAGTGCTGTATCACCATTTGAAGATAGAATTTGTGAGTGTGGCATACACCAAAAACAAAGTAAATCTACAAGTCAATGAATATGAAGTCTTTCAGAGGGCCACAGAAAATAAGGATAAATTTCAGCTACTCTATAAAAACTTAAATTACAATAAAAATCCATCATAAAGTTGATGAATATAAATGATCTACAGATAACCATGTTCAAGAGAATGAATTTGAAAACTGAAATTACAAGAGCAGAATGCATGCAAGATGAAAAGCAAAGTTGCAATATGAGGATATCATAATCTATCTCTAAGCATAAATGATTCAAGATAGTCAATATACTTTTTTAAATATAAAGTTAACTATTGAAAGACCCCTGTCTTGCATCAAACCTAAATGTCTCTTTGTTTTCCCAGGTGTTGTGTGACCCCTATAGGTTTGGTCTCACAAATGTAACAATATTGAAAAATAACCATCTTTAAGGTGTTCCTGACCAGCCAGGCTGTGGTGGCTACACAACTGTATGCTGCTAGCACTAATGGTATGGCTGGCATGCCATTAACTAGGAGGCCTGGTCTACAACCTAGGTCACAAAGGTAATGGGTCTTGGTACCATCACAAGGTAGACATGAACATTATCTAAATATGGTATCAGAATTGCACACCAAGCTTGCTATGAGAGCAGCTTTTTTCTTTAGCCAGGTGACCCCAAAAAAGTCATGCATACGTCAAACTCAGGTCATCAAAGTGTTTTTAAGTGGTATGGAGAAACTTGACTATAACATCTTACAATATATATTAAATGTTTTGATGGAGTGAACCAGTAAGCCAATGGAAAGTCTAGGTCATATGACCAAATGCTTCACAGAGCAGTCATCATACAACTAAGACCTGCATTATGAGAAATTTTCTAATTTCTCCTGATGAGTTCAATACCATCACCACAAACATATTCACCATCACTTATTTAATAGCTGTCTTGCCAGAAATACCTGGACATCACAATTCAAACAACTCTTAAAACACAACATCCCCACCAATCCTTCAGAGTGCAGGCAATGCACTTCTCACCTCAAGTCCAGCTAACCAATTTACATGAATCCCTTAATAAATGTAACCTTGCTGATGTTTTCAGCACATCAAATCCCATAAACTACTTTTTTCCCATTCTAACACCTGCTGAATACTCAGAATCACTTTCCTTTCAAGGAGGATGCCTTGATTCAAGAAACTGAAATGTCTTGGTTTAAAAGTCCTTTGAAAAAAAAAATTATGTGATTAACTTTATAAAAAACATGTTTACAAACACCAACACAGTCAACATATTGCCCCAAGATGTATTAGTACTGAGTGGCTTCCTTGGCCTTAAACCTGCAGATAGTGTGGAAAATGTTTTCCTTGAAAAAATTAAAAAAAAAAAAAAAAAAAAAAAAAATTAAACTCCTCTTCAAGGAAGTCCATTATGCAATAAAAAAAATCACAATGTTCAAGGTAATTGTTCAATAATTTAACAAATTAAAGTGCTTCTGCAAATATTTAGGATTAAAACTACAGCAGCCGAGAAATTTTCTGAGTACAATCAGGAATTTTTTTAAGCCAATGTAATTTACCTCCTGAACTTTCTGATTTTTCACTTTGTTTATAGGTACAGCATGTGCCAGAAACCCAGAGAACCATTAAAAAATATATTAAAGTACTCCCTACATAAAGTGATCAAAGAATCTTTTAACCAAACCATTCTTCAAACAACTGTATTCTCATCCACATTATCCCTTTCACTGTCTTCCACTGAGATCTAAGTTACTGATGGCAGTGCCACTTAAGTTGGTCTAAGTATAAATTCTAGCAGCCTCAAATCTGGCAGGAGAGGCCCGGTAGGCCTAGCCATCAGAAAATGGGTCTGCATGGTCATTGTGAGTAGTATACAAAAAATTTGGGTTGCTGCAGTGCATTGTGGGAACGCCATCTTAGTATGCCACTGTTCAACATGCCATGCAGACACAAGGGTCTCAACTCTCAGGCAAACTCAATGTGCATTATTCCTCAGTGACAGCAACAATGAGGATTATGGAACTGAGGATGAGTTCTTTAGGTTTAAACATTTAGTGATCGAAAGTGCTCAGGGTGCCAGAAATAGTGCTGAAAATGCTGATGACCCACAATCATCCATCTGGGGTCAGCTCATCCAGAACATGTCCATGCCATAAGCGAGGAACAATTTGAGCCATGTAACTGGTGTAACATAAGCTTCAAAGAGCAAAAATCACTGATGAATAAATTACACCCAAATTGCTAACCTAATGCCTGCATATTTTGGTAAGTTCTCCATCAAATTTCATATTTTTGGAGTCATTATCTCCAGAAAAATATTGTCTATCATTTTAGATACTAATTTCTTTTTATGAAAAATCACAATACTGACATAACTTAATTTCAAGGGTCACAAGTCAAAAGGCTAAGACACAAAGATAGCAAGCAAGAAATAAACCTATTCCACCACTAGCATTGACTAACCCATATGAGTTTAGTTTCTTCCTTTTGTGACTAATAACAGTACTGTTTTATATAACCACTATAGTGCCATATGACATAACACAGAGTATCTGAAAATAACCCGAACAACCAAATAATATTACTGAAAAATAAAATTCTGGTAGATGGTGTGAACTCACACCAGCCTTAAACAGCTATGACTGAGTAAATAATAATAATCTTTATTTCTACAATTACATGATACAACTTATACAGACCTAGCTGACATCAATGACATGCTGTACTTTCCAGAAAACCCCTGGTTATGCAGAGTATTTTGGGCAACTTAGGTTGTTAATCTTGTCACCCAGGATGCAACACACATCAGTCAGCTGGCACCTAGATACCTACTTGCTGCTAGGCAAACAGGGGCAGCAGGTGTAAAGAAACATGCCTGTACTGGGGATTGAACCATGGACATTCAACGTGTGAGCCGAGTGTGCTACCAACCTAGCTACAAGACACCGTAGTACATGCAGATTCTGAGTCCACAGTACATTCAGATTCAAATTCATATACAAATTTTTATTTCTTTTAATTCTGTACAAGAATAATGTAGTCTACACATAATAAAACATTGTTAGGCACAAAAGAAACTTGCTAGTATACAAGTGCATTTTGGGCTTTAGTCTGAGGAGTAAAATTTTGTGGCCAATAGTGTAAACAAAAAAAAAAAAAAAAACTTGAGAATTAGACACATGCAATATCTAGGTATCTTTATTGTAGACATATCCCCACCCATTGGCTTTATCAATACAAATTCAACATGAATGGAAGACAAAAACTATATACAAAAGATGAGGTAATCAGTCCCTGAGCCTTGGAGTTGGTGTGAAGAGCACTGTAGCCATGAAGATTCTGGGGCATAGGCAAGAAGACTGGCGCTTATATACTGGCATCAGGTGGAAAGGGATGGGTAGCAGTCCAGTGCCTAGTCACTGGCAAGCAGGATTCTCCAGTGGAAGTAGGTCATACCCAAGGAATGGGTTAGCAGTAGTAGTAGTAGCCATGAAGGTTATGTAGATGTCCTCAGACCAATAGTCCATGATGTTGCAGTGTCTTGACAAGTTGTACATAAATGGTATATAATACTGACAAGATGAGAATTAGACACACATGCAACATCTGGGTATCTTTATTGTAGACATTCTTCTGTCTTCCATTTATGTCCTTGAATTTGTATTGATAAAGCCACTGGATGGTGAAACATCTACAATAAAGATGGTATAACCTTGGTAATAAATGCCGACAAGTTGGTTTAGAAAGAC